TGAAGGAATTTTTCTCCCATATTTACTGTGAAAACTGGCCAAGCTCCTGCAGGCAAATCTCACCATAGCATGCGGCCCCTCCGTGGTTGCGTCCTCTGGAGTTAATTTAACCCTAGAAGTGTCCACACCGGTCCTTCCGTGTCATCGTATTTCAGGTTTTCCTCCCTGGGCACTGGTTTCTGCAGCAGCTTCGGCTCCCGGATCTCTGCTCTGGTAAGCTAAGCTCGAGCTTCCCGTGTCCGCCTGTCTGTCTCTGCAATCTGGGGAGCAGCTGCTTGCCCTGTGTCCTCCCTCTTCTGGATCCAAGAGGAGTTGTTGATTCTATTCCATTTTGCACTTGTTGTTGGAGAGTGGTGACTCTCCGAGCTCCGTGTGTACAAAACCGAAATCGCCTTCCGTTTTTAAATTGTGAAACATAAAGTACGTGCTGTATTTCTTGCAGCCTTTTAGCAGTATTGGTGGTTATGACACAGTGGAAGATCCTTTGCACTTAGATTCAAGATTGGTCTTTTCCAGTCGATTAAACCTCTAATTTGAAGATCATGTAAGAGCTGTGACGGGAAAGGAAACCTGACCTGTTGATAATAAATATGAGTGTATTTAGTAAGACGTTTGTAGTATTTAAGGATAGATGTGGGGTTGGATCAAATTAGGGCCATCCAGGGACCAGAGGAGGTAAGGAATCCTCATTGGCCTGCCAGGATTATTTCATAAGGGAATAATCAGTGTTGACTGGAGGTGTAGGATTCGAGGATCGTCAGGGCCATGTGCCAGACTTTGGGCAGGCTGAGTTCCTCAGAGAGTTTGGCTGGTTTGAATTTAAGAGCATTGTTGCCTGTTTTATTTTTCCAGAGGACGGAGGATGATAAAGATCGTAACGTTTTGGGCCGTGAAGTGTTCCTATCACAAAAGAGGAACAAGGGGATCCCCAAGTAGGGAAAATTCTTTCTGGTCACAGCTTAGCTACAGTTACAGCCGTAGCCCATTTGCAGAGAAAAGCTTCTAACCATCCTAAATGTATGTCCTTCTGTTTTTGTGACTAAAAAGAAAAAAGGGTTGTGAGTAATTGGAGAGTCCAAAAAGCAGGAGAAGAGAATAGAGGTTTTCAGATTTTGAAATGCAGACATGCAGGAATGTCCCCATTGGGGAGATAGGTGTTGTTTCCTTAGTCCTGGCATAGAAGGGAGAGCAACAGGGAAAACTCGGGATCCAGTGCCAGCAACAGCCAACTCATCCCAGAAGCCCTCAGAGGTGCCTTTCGGTCTCAGGGGAATGGGGAATTGGTGAAGCTCTTAGGGGATGAAGGCTCTCCTTCAAGGGAGAAAGCATGTCCTAGAAAATGCTCTTGAAGAGGCTAAGTAATTTCATTTTGTTTTTAGAAACTTTATGTCTGTCGTGGGCAAAAGCTTGGAGCAAATGAGTTGTTAAAATCAGGTGAGCAGAGAAGAAGGTCATCTACATATTAGATTAGGAAAGAATTGCAGGGAATAATAGTGTTAATGGTGAAATTGTTGCCTGTGTCCACTAGCAAGGTGGTGGGATGTCCATCGACAGTTATGATTATTCCCCCTTGCACATTAAGAGTTAGTTGTTCATCAAAAAGGGAGGGATTCTCCGAGGAAAGTCATTGAGAGATGGATTTTTAGTCTCTTGTTCACATTTGCATTTTGAGGCTGGTTAATACCAAGTCTAATGTCCCTTTTCTTTTCAGTATCCACAATTATCTCTGTCTATGGGAGTTTTGGAGGGAGCCAATTGTCCTGGCTTGTTTCCTTCAAACTAAGTTGTAAAGTCTTGAGTTGGCATTGTTTTGTTGTTGTTATTGTTTGTTCTGTTTTTCCTTTCTCGGGAATTTTATTGGTTCTGGGGAGGATTGGCAGGTGGCCCCTGCCTCATGCTGAGGGAGCCACACGCCCTACTTGTTTCCAGTTGCCACTGATGGGCAGGTTCGCGTGTTCGTGGGAGGCCAGGAAGGCCTTGAGCTTGGGCCAGGACCTAGGGCGAGCCACCTAGGCCGAGAGCAGCGGGGAGGAGTCCAGACAGCCGGGAGGAGTCCAGGCAGCCGGGGCCGAGACCTGGTGATTCAGCAGCAAGTCAGCAGAGGAGATCTGGTTGCCCACGATGAAGGCCTGGCCCTCTGGTCCTGGGACAACAGGGTCTCCAAAGGCTTCGGGTGCCCTGGCAGCTCCTTCACATAGTCCTCCTTGCCCGCCTCGTAGTTGGTTAAATGAGGGTGATGGATTTGCAGCGGAGGTCCTCCACACTGCCATTCACCACATCCGCCAGCGTCACCTCCTGCTGGTCCTGTCCACACAGCCCAAGGGGGCACCCAGGTGGCGAAGGATGGTACAGGATGAGGTCTTTACCCTGGAACTTGAGGGAGCTGCCCATATAGACAGGAGACTTTGAGTGAGCCCTGCAGCCAGGTCTCCTTGGTCACCACCCCCTCCTTCCAGCTCTGGCCCTGGTCAGCCAAGAGCATGCGCATGACCTCGCAGTGCCCTCAAACAGGGGAGTAGATGATGCTGTAGGGCGACATGGTTGCGATGTAGACAAAGATGACAGCGGCGGCGGAAGAACCAGAGTTTACATTGTTTTGATTTTTTTTTTTCCTGCAACAGGCTCTTCGTGATGTTGAGTGTATGTATTTCAGAGAAAGGTCACCTCACTAATTTACAGTATGTTTTGAATAATATCTCTAATTTCTAGTCATAGCCTTAATGACTCTAGTGACCAAGATGGAAAGTGTTCAGTCATTTAGGGTGAGATTAAGAGTAATCCTTCCAAACATTTCCTGAACTATGTCTTTAGTAAGAGATAGGTCATCTCTTTGTATTCTGCTATTTTGTATCTTTGACCAATCAACTTTTGAAGGAAGATGGTGGGAATGGATTCTAAACTTGCTCTCCCTTATGGTTTTGGCCTGTATGTAAGCCTCGGGGGTGTTCTGATTTATTTGATTGAAGGTCCTCTTGAAGAGTGGCCTATTTGACTTTTCATACAATAAAGTGGCATCTCCGGGACATGCTAGTAGTGGCAAAAGTTGTTATAAATCATAGATCACAAGAGACTATGCCCTGAGGATCAGTCTGAATTGATTAATAGATTCTTCCCTATTTTCATGGTGATCCAAAAAGACTCTCACAATAACATGTAAATCTGAGTGAGATCAAGGATTAAGGAATAGTTGCCTTCTTTCGGTTGGAAAGACCAATAATAAGCGTTCTTATTTGGGGGAGTTGGAGCCTAAGTAGTTTAATGGAGGCAAGGAGGGGTAAAAAGGAAGAATAGAGACTGAAGGAAGAAAAAGAGAATCTACAGAAAAAGCCCGAATAGAGGGTAAGAGAAAGGGCTTGTTTGGTCACATGGTGAGTTCTGGGTGAGGACGGGGGCCTGAGATTGTGGACACATGGTAAAAGAGACAATCTTTAAGAGACTACAGTTTGAGATAGACTGGAGACATTTTATTTTTCAGCCTGCTCATACCAAGCAAAACAAGATGACCATTGGTAAGAAGAGATCTTAGAGCCCAAGATTTGAGAGTACGTTGTAGATAGCCAGGCTTAAGGAAATTCCAAGTGTCCCAAAGTGGCCACTGGAGTTGTAAGTTGTCCTCAGTAAAATTCTGCCACTTTTGGAGGTGATGATCTGAATTTTCACCTTAGCGGTAAAGCATATAATTAATGGGAATTTTTAAGAGCTTTGAGAAGTGGGTTGAGAGTTTCTGTTCAACAACAGCTATCAACATAACCAAACCAAGAGATGGCTCTAGGCAGTTCCTTATAAAACCAGTCTTACCCTCGGATCCAGCAATCACATTCTGTGGTATTTACCAAAATGAGTGAAAACTTAGGTCAGCAAAAAAAAAAAAAACAGTACGAGTGTTTCTAGCAGGTTGATTCGCAATTGCAAAAATCCAAAGCAAACAAAATGTCATTCGGTAGGTGAATGGCTAAGTAAACATGCACTATTATTCAATAATAAAAAAAAATATCAAGCCATAAAAAGACATGGAGGAAACCGAAATGAATATTGCTAAGTGAAAGAATATATCTTAAAAGGGTACATACTGTATAATTCCAAGTAGATGACATCTTGATAAGGTAAAACAGTATATTAAGAAGATCAGTAGTTCCCAGTGGGTGGTTGGAGGAGGAGGCATAAATAGATTGAACACAAGAGGATTTTTAGGGCAGTGAAAATATTCTGTATGATACTGTAATGGTGGATACATGACATTATATATATTTTCAAAACCCAACAGTGTACAACAGTGACCCCCTAAAAACACTATGCACTTCAATTAATATTATATCAGTATAAATTTATCAGCGTAAATTTATCACTTGTAATTAATGCATATAATAATGCAAGATATTAATAACAGGGGAACTGTGAGGAGGTGCAGTCTGTGGGTACTCCTTTTAACTTTCTGCTCCATTTCCCAGTAAAACTAATCTTAACAATAAAATCTATTATTTAAAAACTTAAAGGGATTTCTGCAGAAACCTGCAGGGTTTTAAATTTTTTCCTGCAGGCTCATGATTTCAAATGAGTGCGTACTTCATTTTTCATAAATGCTATTAGAGCTAAGGCTTATTGAACCTTTAGATTATAGGTATGGCGTTAAGTACTTCATTAACTATCATGCGTTTCAGAGAATCCTGTACAAGCCCATGGTTTATCTCATTTACTCTTCACATAACGCTATGAACTACTGTTATGATTCACATTTTAAAAATCAGGGCAGTTCTGAGAGAGAAGTCAAACCATTGATAAATACTAGAACAGGTGTCTAATCTGGATTCCAAACCCAAAGTTCTACCGTAATACCGAATCGGAGAGAATTGGCTATTTCTAATTCCGTCCGCCCAAACAATGAACGGCCGATAAATCTCGCGATACTATTGAAACTACTGCTCCCGACATTCACAGCGGCCTCTGCCCATAAGCCTACGCCGTGGGCCCGCCGGCCCGGCATGCCTCGAGGCGCGAAAGGCCAGCTGGGCGCTGTAGTTCTCCTGGACGCCTAGCGGCATTGCCAGCGCGGCGGTGGCGGCTCTCGGTTGCTGCCAGCGGGTTCTCTGAGGGCGAGCCGAGGCGGAGAAAGGGCGCGGAACTGGGAGAGGGTGAGTCAGACGCTGTCTATGCCGTAAAGAGAGCGGCACCTTGGCACACGGCTCCCTTAGGTAAATGGACTCGTGCGGACGTCTCTCCGGAGATACCGTTATCTTTGCGCCAGCGAGAGCCTGGTGAGGAGGAGCCATAGCCGGGTCCTTGCACCCGTTCTCGCCTTCAGCGCCCCGCCGCCATCTCCACCATGCAGTCCCGGGAAGACGCTCCGCGCTCTCGCCGCCTCGCCAGCCCCCGTGGTGGGAAACGGCCCAAGAGGATTCACAAGCCCTCGGTGTCGGCCTTTTTCACGGGCCCCGAGGAGCTGAAGGACACGGCCCACTCTGCAGCGCTGCTGGCACAGCTCAAGTCCTTCTACGACGCGCGGCTGCTGTGCGATGTGACCATCGAGGTGGTGACGCCTGGCAGCGGGCCTGGCACGGGCCGCCTCTTCCCCTGCAACCGTAACGTGCTGGCTGCCGCGTGTCCCTACTTCAAGAGCATGTTCACCGGCGGCATGTACGAGAGCCAGCAGGCGAACGTGACCATGCACGACGTGGATGCCGAGTCCTTCGAGGTGCTGGTCGAATACTGCTACACGGGTCGCGTTTCGCTTAGTGAGGCCAACGTGCAGCGCCTTTACGCGGCGTCCGACATGCTGCAGCTGGAGTACGTGCGGGAGGCCTGTGCCTCCTTCCTGGCCCGCCGCCTTGACCTGGCCAACTGCACCGCCATCTTCAAGTTCGCCGACGCCTTCGGCCATCGTAAGCTGCGATCACAAGCGCAGTCCTTCATAGCCCACAACTTCAAGCAGCTCAGCCGGATGGGTTCGATTCGGGAGGAAACTCTGGCAGATCTGACCTTGGCCCAGCTACTGGCCGTGCTGCGCCTGGACAGTCTAGACATCGAGAGTGAGCAAACAGTGTGTCACGTGGCCGTGCAGTGGTTGGAGGCGGCTCCCAAGGAGCGGGGTCCCAGCGCTGCCGAAGTCTTCAAGTGCGTCCGCTGGGCACACTTCAGCGATGAAGATCAGGATTACCTGGAAGGGCTGTTGACCAAACCCATCGTGAAAAAGTACTGTCTGGACCTGATTGAAGGGGCCCTGCAGATGCGATATGGTGACATGCTGTACAAGTCTCTGGTGCCAAAGCCAGAGTGCAGCAGCAGCTCTGTTGTATCCGCAGCGGAAAATCCACCCCAGAGGCTGGGTGTGTGTGCCAAGAAGATGGTGATCTTCTTTGGACATCCCAGAGATCCCTTTCTGTGCTGTGACCCATACTCGGGCGATATTTACAAAGTGCCGTCACCTTTGACCTGCCTTGCTCACACTAGGACTGTCACCACCTTAGCAGTCTGTGTCTCTCCCGACCACGACATCTATCTCGCTGCCCAGCCCAGGAAAGACCTCTGGGTGTATAAACCAGCGCAGAACAGTTGGCAGCAGCTGGCAGATCGCTTGCTGTGCCGCGAGGGCATGGATGTGGCATACCTCAATGGCTACATTTACATCCTGGGTGGGCGAGACCCTATCACCGGAGTTAAACTGAAGGAAGTGGAATGCTACAGTGTTCAGAGGAACCAGTGGGCACTGGTGGCTCCACTACCCCACTCTTTTATCTCCTTTGACTTAATGGTAATTCAGAACTATCTGTATGCTCTCAACAGTAAGCGCATGTTCTGCTATGATCCCAGCCACAACATGTGGCTGAAATGTGTTTCTCTCAAGCGCCATGATTTTCAGGAAGCCTGTGTCTTCAATGATGAGATCTATTGTATCTGTGACATCCCGGTCATGAAGGTCTACAACCCGGTCAGAGCAGAATGGAGGCAGATTAATAATATTCCTTTGGTGTCTGAGACGAGCAACTACCGGATCATCACTCATGGCCAAAAGTTGTTGCTGATCACCTCGCGCACCCCGCAGTGGAAAAAGAACCGGGTGACCGTGTATGAGTATGACATTAGTGGAGACCAGTGGATTAATATAGGTACCACATTAGGCCTTTTTCAGTTTGATTCTAACTTTTTTTGCCTCTCAGCTCGTGTTTATCCTTCCTGCCTTGAGCCTGGTCACAGTTTCCTCACTGAGGAAGAAGAGATACCGAGTGAATCTAGTACTGAGTGGGATTTGGGTGGATTTAGTGAGCTGGATTCTGAGTCAGGAAGTTCAAGTTCTTTATCTGATGATGATTTGTGGGTACAGGTAGCGCCTCAGTGAAATGCACAGTATCAGCAGGGTTCGTTGTAGATAGGTTGAAACACTAAGGTATTTTTACTACTTGGAAAGTAGCTAAAAGAAATACCCTTTCCCTTTACTGGGAAAGAAAAGATTAATTTCAGATTTGGTTTAGAAAGGGTATTGTTTGAAATACTAATGTAATTTAGTATTAGAGAATTTAAGCACTCTCCAAAAAATAAACCTATTTAATAATTTACTGTTCTAAAAGTCCAGTATTGATTTGTTTAGTATGTTTCTGTTCGATTATGCTAAGTTAGTCTTCTATTATTAAATCTTACGTTCTGTTTAGTGCCACAAGTACGGTAACTTGAATTTTAATTTTTATAGTAGAAAACAGATTGGATAGGAATTACTAGATAGGGTTTTGAAAGTATATACTTTCCTTACAGTGTAGTAGATTTCCTAAACTTTAAAACAGTGGGTTTTTACAAATTGTTCTAACTCATAGTTTGCTAAGTTTTAGTTTAGTTTTCTCCCCTTTTGTGAAGAAAAAAAAAATTACATATATGTTTAATGTGACTGAATGATTTCATTTGTAATATCGTACAGAATGGCCATAAACTCACTGATAATAAGAACAAAAAATACAGGATTCTACTGTTTGGAAAGAAATTTCAGTTTTAAATTTGTAATATAAAATGTGTATTTGCAAATAGTGACCCGTTTTCCATCTAAAAAAAATTCCATTCTAGCCGTGTCACCAATCATCTACAAAGGTAAAAAACAAACGAACAAAAAAAAACTCAGTAACTGGCTTTGTAGGTTCATATTTTTATCTATACTTAGTACATGCTTCATTGAATCAGAGGAATAATCCTTTTTTTTCACTGGACACGATTGTGTAAATTTTTATTCATTGTCTTAAAAAGTTTGTGATTCTTAAAATATTTTGACTGTATAGTTTTCGTGTTCATCTTAGATTTGTCAGCAAGTTGTGATTCTTCTTTACTGTTTTGTGAGGTAATACTGGTTTTGAAAATATGTATAAGCTAAGAACAGTATTTTATTGATTAGTAGTTATCGTATCTATCAACTATAAAATCAAGTGCCAGCAAAGAACTTTAAAACTTTAAGTTTTAAGTATAGAACTGTTTTGTGTAGCATTGAAATATACTGTCAGTTTTGTAAGTCACTAAATGTTATCAGCTTAAAGGTATTTTTGTATTAAAAGTTTACAGTTAAATAACATAAATGGATGATGGCATTTGGGGCCAGTAGTGAAAGTATATTTCGTCTAAAATATTTCCCTAAGCAGTGGTGTTATACATGATTATTTTATTAGGGTATTCTTATCTGTTCTGTGTTTCTCTGTGAACCATGCTCCAGTCTTTGTTACTGTCACTATATGTAAGGGAAAGTCCAGAAATAGAGACTAAATCACATAAAACTGACATCGTTAATTATATAAGAAAATATAAATGCTTACCTCTTGAGGGTTTACTAGATATGTCATTGTACATATACATGATAAATGACCAGATGCTTGATAGTGTATAAAATTTTGTATACTCAATTAGAATTATCTTCCTGAATCTTCCTTCAGTGACATGCTGATTCCTCTTCTGTGTGTATTCTCTGGTGACGGAAGGCTAACAGTTCTTAACCGTGGCAGAGTACTGAGGAGTGTGCTCTCTCAGGTGGGAAACTAAATTTTTGAATGAAATACCGTAGGACGAGAATGGAGAAAGGGAGACATAAAAGATTTTTAAGTTCTGAGCAATTTTTATTGGCTATCTGAAGATTCTACAAAACATTCCCATTGAACATTTTTAGTGAAATAGGATGCGTGTTCTAGTAGTGTATGTTCTTCCACCAGGTCAAACATGCTTTTAGTTTGGCTAAATTTTGTTCCATTTGACATCAGGGTTGTTAAAAGCACTGTACTTAACACAAAGCTATTTCTTAGTAGTGTCATTTTTGGTCAGCTGTTTCTTCACCGGTAACTTGTTTTGATAGCTTTTTGTTTTTTCATGGTGAAATAGGACAATGCTGATTTCATCCAGACTATCCATCTGCAGAATTAAGGTATGCAGTCAATTTGTCATTTTCAACCTTTAGGTAAAGCCTAAGCTAAATGGTGGTAATATCTCCATTCCCAAAGAGATTTTCTTGGGTTTCGTGACATATTTGTGAATTAGGGAATAGATGTTAACCATTATTTTATAGGTAAGTGATTTGTATGTGATTAGTTACAAATAAAACTGGTACTAGAACCCAGACTTTCTGACTTTTTAATTCATTGTTTCTGCTGAATGTATACAACTCTTGCTTGTGTAGTGAATGACATAACTAGCAGTGTTGAAATCCCTTCTCGACACAAAAGCACCTTGTCGCAGTTTTCACACCTTTTAATTACATCTTTTAGCAAGTTCTCAGTGTGGTGCTGGCAGGACTACTATTTGTAAGATTTAGAATGCCCTTAATTATCTTTTGTATCTGTACGTACAGCCTGAAAAACTCAAAGAACCTAAATTTTTGCAAGTTTTTTTCAGTTCAAATGACAAGTGGCATTAGGGTTTCCAGAAAGAGGCAGTAGAAATTAATTTAGCAATTTGCTTGTCTAAATGTGGCTTAAGGATTGAAATTAAGTTATAATAGCTCTTTTCATTATTTTTAGTTGAGCTGGGATTTAAAAAAAATTTTGTGCCTGATTTTGTTGAGAGTCTGGGGAAAGCTTTTGATTGATTCCCCCAAGGCAAATAATAATTTTATAATTTCAATAATATATGACACTTCTGAATCTCATCAGACCTGAGGAAGAGCATCTGTGACAGTCCCTCCTTCCCATACCTGCCTAAGAACTTCAGCACCCTTTCATCATTCTAAGTAATTTTAAAGGAACATTTATTAGAGCAAATATGATAAAGTAGGGAAATAGGAGGCAAAATTATTTATAAAAAATGTGACTCGGTAGAAACCTAAGACAACGTTGTCTTTAGAACCAATGAGAGGGTTCATTATATACAAACCAGTTTAATAGTAATATAAAATTTTAATAATAATCATAAACCCCCAAAGATACTGTTCCCAGCAGCTGCCAAACCTCAGGGTACCATGAAGGCAGTAGGTTTTGTACAGGATGGGGAGAAAGAACCCCCCCTTCCCCGACCCTGAGCCATTTGTCACTGGGGTCTGTTTCGTCAAGCTTTTATTCCTCACATCTTTAACCTTGAGGACTCAAGGCTGTCTAAGTCACAGGGAGAGTAGAGAACAGACGTTTTGCATAATATTCATCTATATCTGAGACATTTTCTAAAAAACGTAGGCTGTGGGGAGTCACCTCTTTCTAACGGAGTCAGACTTTTACAGTCTCATCTCCCAAGCTAAAGTTGCTGCTTAGAACCACCGTATCTCAATCGAGAATATTCTTTTGGGATGAACTATTTGTTAACTCTAGGAACACTGGCTAAAAAGGACTTTACGTAGAATCAGGCAAAGTTTCTTCTAAAACAGATGTGCTTGTGCCTTAAAAAAAGAGAAAGCCAGGACTCTCGGTGGTAAGTAACATTACCTTAATTTAGATCATCTTAAGAAAATAAAATTGAACATTTTTTGCCTACTGTAACAAAAATCCAGCGATGGCACTCAATTCAGGCACACCCTGAACCAAAATCTCTGTTTCGTCAGGGCTTTTTTTTGGTCCAGAGAAGGCATCACGGAGTGGTGATGCCTCTCACTTTATACGTTAGTTGGGATCTAGGCGTGGTGGTTTGTACAAAGATCCTAGAGCTGTTTTAATGAGACAGACATTTCTCACATAAAAGTTCAATCTAGTATGTTGGCCCTGATCTACAGAGTCATCTGAGAACAAGCTTTCCTGTTTTTCTGTTCTGCTACCCTAGGGTGTTGTCCTGGTCCGCACGGCCCACCCTCGTGTTCATATTCCGTCATCAGGAGTGGGTGGGGGAGGGGAGGGCACGTGCACATGGCTTCCAGTCACGTGTCACTGGCCAGATCTTAACCACATGGCCACACCTCACTGCAAGGGTGCTTGGGAGAGATGGCCTTTGTTCAGAATTATAGAGTAATGATGACAACTGGAAATTTCTTAGAGCAAGCTCGGCTGTTGAGCAATATTCTAGCATTTTCTGTGCCTGGATCATTTTTGCAGTGCTGTGTGAGTGTAATCTACTTCTTAACCCTTCAGAGAAGCCGGGAGCATCAGCCACAATAACCTATTCAAAACTCAGTTTCTTGATGAATTCTTGTACCGACTTCAGGTTAATCATAGTTTATTTGATATGCACACGTAGCGTCACTTTTCGTGTTTGTCAAAGCTTCAGAACGCCTGCCAGAGGACATTTTGAATAATTGCTTCTGTCGAGTATATAAGTTTTATCATTATAATCTTAATTAAAAATATCCATACTTATTTTAAAAACAAACTCGCTTAGTTTCAGATAGAGTCCTAAGCTCTGCTAGCAAGCGAAGAGTAAGTAATACTTCAGTTAGTAGCTGGGTTTCTGTCATTCTCTGTTTCACTTCTACTAAATCTCTTACAAGCTTAAAGGCGAGATTTTTGAGATATACTGTGACTGGTTCTCTATGTTCTGTACTGATACTGGGTGTTTAGTATCAGGGTCCTGTTACTTTCTTGTACTGCGGCCTCACAGGCTGGAATTATCCAGTTTATCGATTTGTTTACTCTTTATTATCTGTCTCCTACACTGGAATGTGCCCTCCACAGCTCCTAATCTAGTGCCAGGCACAGCACAGGCTTTCAATGAATATTTATTGAACAAAGAAAGAAATGTATTTGGTGCTTGTTTGCATATATATGAGAAACACTTGCGTTTAGAGCTCTCATCTTTCTGTCAGTTTTCCAGCTTTGAGGGAGAGCTATTATTAAACTCTTGCCTGGTTGTCATAGCAACCCTCTGGCCTCCAGAGCTACAGGTTATTTCTAATGGGCATATCCCACCAGCCTACCAAACACTCAGTGTTTTCAATTATGGGATAATGATGCTATTATAAATCACATTTCTCACAGTATATATTTCTCTGTCTTTTATAAAGATGGTGGAGAATTAGAAATTAAATACGTTCGAACCAATGCAAGCTACGGGAAATAAAGCAGTCTGACACACATCTCTGTTCCCGGTCCTTTCACAACCCTTCACGTTTTCAAGTTTTCATAAGCACCTGTGAATTCAGAAGGGTTTTCTGTCCCAGTCGTTTTGAAAGTTAATTGCTACAAAACAAACTAAAGAGCTCTGTTACAGCTTAAACATTTTGTCTTTTTCTCCTTCTCACTCATTTCTTAAATTTCATGTTAAATCAGCAAATGATAATAGTATTACAAAAATTGAGATTTGCTCTGTAAAGGTCTAAAAATCAGGTACTTCCCACCTCCCTTCTGCTCACAATTTTTTGGCAGGCACTGAGAAGGGTTTTATTAAACTGGATAAGTCATCACAGAAAACTCATTATTATCAGTTCAATGGCCCCTCAACCATCCATGAACATAGATTCTAAAAGGCAGAGTCTGTTTTCTAATGGTGGATGCCCTAAGGGAGTTTTACGGTATGTCATGCTGTATTTTTTTGTCTGTGAGTTTTGGTCACATGTACAGGGAGACTCCACGTACAGTTCCAAGGCAGATAATACGTCTCTGTGCAGTGCTGATGCTTTCCTCATACAGTTGTAATACCTATCAGCAATAGTGCCATAACTTTATCTGAAAGAAATTATATTGCACTTCATTTACCATCTGGGCTTTGACATTATATAAACAGTTTACCACATCAATACAGTCAACCATCTCAGTAAATGATACACAATGGAGACATTGTCAGGCAGAGAAAGAGAAAGATAAGGAGAGACAGTATAATGTGTAGTGTCAAGACTGCAGATTTTGCTACTTGAACCCTTGGGGTATTTTGATTTATGTATTTATAAGAACTTTATTTTAGTCTTCTAGAAATCGCCATGCATTTTTATTCTTTTAAATAAGCATTGGATATTATACAACATTAGGTCAGGTGTCAGAACTTGAGACAGCTTAACCTAGATATCTGCCTGCTGTTAAAACTTGAAAACAGTTGAATGGAAGAGAAGGTTTTGCCGGGGGAGGATCAGACCAGCCGCAGAGGCCTTGTAGCAATGATTTGACAAAGGTACCATGTCACAAGTCTAGTCCTCTTCATTAAAAGTTTATTCAGTTATTACTATACCTTGATATGGTTTGGTTTGGGTGCTGAATCAGAATAACCAAACCATTGAGAATCAAATAAACAAAAGCGGTGATATTGACATGTTAACTTATTATTAGAAAATATAACTTTTGTGATCAAGAGGGAATTGGACAATGACTCTAGTGCACCAGATTTTATGGCCGCCACCCAAGGTCCTGGCTCCCAAATCATGTAGCTCAGAGAGCTAACCGGTCTTGTCATTCGCAAGTCCCCCAGGACCACATTAAACAGAGAAGCAGTTTGAAATGGGGGCTCAAGCATTTCCCCGACTATGTCCCGCAAGGCCCAGCACAGAAGAAAAAGGCAAAAACACCCATCTTCCAGTTTCTCAGTGAAAGGGGTTTTGCTGCCCACGTTCTCAACTGCTGCCCACAGGTCTGGATTCTTTCTGATCAGCCTGAATCTGGATGCTGACCGGAATTCTCCCAGGAGCCTGAAGGAGTCCCTGGGTGCTTCCCCAGCATTTTCCCTCAGGCTCCCTCCATCAGTAAAACCAATCTCCACTTTCTCCCTGGAGAAATGTCCACATTTAGCACCCCAACTTTCATGGATGCCACCTGAGAGACTGGCTCCCAGGTCACCACGTCCTGACAGCTGACAGGGTCCAGTGTTTGCAAGTCCTCTGGAGCCACGTTAAATTAAGAGGCAGTTTTGTTTGTTTTGTTTTGTTTTTTTTCTAAGGCAGTTTTATACGGAAGTGTCAGCACTTCCCTTGTTTGTCTTCTTCGGCTCAACACAGAGGGACCAGGCAAAAACGCTAGGCTCTCGGCTTCTCGTTGGAAGGTTTGACTGCATACTTTTCCAGCTGCTGCCCAAGGGCCAGGCTTCTGATTAGCTCGTGCCTGGGAGCTGAGAAGGCCCGTGATTGGTAGTCATTTGAGAGTCAGAATGGCTATATGGGAACTTCCTGTGCCTTTACCCCCAGCCCTAAAATCAAGTCTCCAGCCACTCTGGGAAAAGAGTTTGACCACACAGCTTGTGCCCCACGTTCTATGGCTGCAAGCTGAGGGACCAGCTCCTATACA